GACATTAAAATGTAGCACACAGTTCCTTTAAGTATTGGAACTCTTCAACTCCAGGGAAAAAGACAATAAAGTTCAAACTACGTTGCCTGTGTCCTTAAATGTCCTTCTCGATTTAGGGAATAATCGCGAGTTTCTGCAACACCCTCTTTGCACCCCTTCACTAACAAGTGGTGGCGTCTCCATATGAGTGAGAAATTCTTGACAAGGAAGTTAAACAACAAATAAAAGCAAAATTAATTTTGTTCAAATCATTAACCCCAGGGGTAGGGTGGGGCCACAATGGGTAATCAAAGTTTTACATACGAATATATACAGAAAATCTTTAAAGATCTCAAAAAACAAAGACAAATCTAGCACCGGCGCACGGCCCCCGTTTGTTTTTGTTTTTTATTTGTCTTTTGTAAATTCTATTTGTTGAACTTGAATATACTCTCAATTTAATCCACAGGTTAAATTTCATAATTAAATAATTTCCTTAAAATATACGGTAACACACCTTCGCAAACATATATAGGCGCGGATCCAGGAAATTTTTCCAGGGGGGGGGGGGGGTCCACCCCAGTCCAAAAAAAATTCCAACCCAAAAATTCCTTGACAAGCAAAAAACAAAAAAACAAGATGTGTTTGTGAAACACTGATGCCCCCGTATGGCAGCATATGGCGAAGGTTAAAGTTTCTCAAATACAAGTCAAAATCCAGGCCAAAAGATAAAAAAATGTTAAATTTGAAAGCCCTAGCTGCAACTGTTCAAAAGTTATGGCGAAGGTTAAAGTTTTTTAAAAGTAAGTAAAACATCAAGGTCAAGGTTGTTGGTATCCAAAGGAAGGCCTTGTCACAAGGATTACATATATAAAGAATGAAAGCCCTAGCACCAACCATTCAAAAATTATGGCCAAAGTTGAAGTTTTTCAAAAGTAGGTCAAACTCCTAGGTCAAGGTCAAAAGGTCAAAGTGGTTGGTATCCAAAGGAAGGTGATCTCACAAGGATTACATATGTGAAGAATGAAAGCCCTAGCTCTAACCGTTCAAAAGTTAAGGCCAAGGTTAAAGTTTTTCAAAAGTAGGTCAAACTCCTAGATCAAGGTCAAAAGGTCAGAGGTATCATCCAGAGGAAGATCTTGTCACAAGGAATACACATGTGACGTTTGAAACCCCAAGCACCAAATGTTAAAAAGTTATGGCCAAGGATAAAGTTTTTCAAAAGTAGATAAAACTCCAAGGTCAAAAGGTCAAAGTTGTTGGTATCCAAAGGAAGGCCTAGTCACAAAGAATATACATGTGAAGTTTGAGACCCCAAGCACCAACTGTTCAGAAGATATGGCCAAGGTTAAAATCTCATAAAATTTTGCAAAAGTGGGTCAAACTCCAAGGTTAAGGTCAAAAGGTCAAATATGATGGTACCCAAAGAAAGGTCTTGTCACAAGGAATACATATGTGAAATATGAAAGTCATAGCTCCAACCAATCAAAAGTTATGGGCAAGGTTAAAGTTGACAACAGACAGACAGACAGACAGGACAAAAACAATATACCCCCGGGATCTTTCGATCCGGGGGCATAAAAAAAAACCAAAACAAACAAAACAATAAAAAAAACTCCTAAATTCCTCCCCCCCCCCCCCCCTAAAAAAAACCACCTTAATTCCATTTCCAAACGTTAAAAACACCTAATTCGTGGTGGTAATGGGTGGTCCACGTTTTTCTATGAGGAGTCCAAAGTCCTTGTTTTTTTGCTTCAGTATATACTTTTAATAACTGCAAATTCCGGGGGGGGGGGGGGGTCCGGACCCACCCACCCCCCTTTAGATCCCTCGCATGATATGACTTTTTTGTTTTCTTTTGTTTCGTTTTGTTTGTTTTTTTTTATTTTTGTTTGTTTGTCTGTTTATCTGTTTGTCTGTTTGTCTGTTTGGGCCAACTTTAAAATAATGTTTGCTTGCCCTCTCTCGACTCGGGATGAAAAAGTTGAATCGGTAGGTAGGTGAGACATTTTTTTTCAAAGAAAATTTCAAAATCAATGCTGAATTTTCACAATCTGTTTTCCGGAATGTATTAAAAAATAAATGCTTCCTGGGGATTAAAAACAAATTTGAGTCGGGCCATTTTTAGCCAGTCGGTCGGGAGAGGGCAATCAAACAATTTTTAAAAGATGACCTTGTTTGTTTTTTTAATTTGGTCAAAAAAATCTCAACCACCCCCTCTCTTCTGAAATTTTTGGATCTACTACTGAGAACAGCAATGGACCCGTGATTAGTGATGTTTATATGGAAGCATTGTCGGGTAGTGTATATTCAAGTTTCTTCAAATCACGACCCCCGGGGCTAGGGTGGAGCCACAATGGGCGATCAAAGTTTTACATAGGGATATATAGGAAAATTCTTTAATCTTTCACAAACAGCAAAACAATGATTAGTTATATTTATATGGAGACACTGCCATAAATATAACCAAGTGTCGCCGGCGACGATATGAATAGAACGACAAAATGAACTGTAACAATTACTCTGCATGAAATAGCATACGAGACACGTCAGTGAGATTCACACACCAATTACATTCACTAAACTTCTCAAAAACACCAAAGCAATGTGCCGTGAGGGTAAGGCACATAATGTCGCCAGCGACAATATGTACATGTGAAACTTTTCAGCCGGCAACAATATGTACCTACGGACGACGATATGTGCAGTGAGGGAAGGTACATATTGTCACCGACGAGAAAATGACAATATGTACCGTCACTGCGCTTTCAGCCATGTTGGTTCTTCAGACAGTTTTGTAAATCTGTCAAAACTGTCTGAAGAGCGAAACAGGGCTGAAAGCGCTAACACTGAAGATTTTATTTAATTTTGGCACATTCTGTTTTATTTACCTCAGTATTTTTTTTTACTTTACCAAGAATATATATATATATATATATATATATATATATATATATATATATATATGAGAGTGAAAGATTGATTGAATGTTGCTTTACGTCCCATTCGAGAATTTTTCACTCAATTGATTGTTTGTTGTTTTACGTCCCATTCGAAAATTGTTCACGCATGTAATGACGTCACAATACCGGTGAAGGGCTTCAAATTTTGAAGGAACAGTTGTTACCCTTTTTTTCGATTTAGGCCGAGATTCGAACTCACGACCTCCCGTTCACAGAGCGAGCGCTCTACCGACTGAGCTACCGTGAACGGTGAGAGAGAGAGAGAGAAGGAAGGGATGTGAAAATTAGTGATTAAAGTAATTATACGGTTATTCAAGAGCTTTAATCGAAATATCCAAACTCTGGAATTCAATACATTTTCAATAATTTTTCCAACTTCCAGACTGAAACTACCCAAAATAATTATTTCATAACAGATAGAAAGAAAAAGAGACAAAGTCACTGATACATATCCTCTTTGAGTGTCAAGGTCAGATGAATTCAATGTTTGTCATTATCTAGATCTCTCTGTTAAAACGTTTTTAATTTCTCCTTGTAAATTCTAATTCGAATTAGATACAGCAATAATATGTAGATATTACCAAAGTACGGGATACTGATAATCTTCTGATGTCGATGAACGGTGTCGCAGTACTCATTTAAAGTTAAACATAATTATGTTTCTGTACGTGGGGTCTGTCAACCTCTGGAATGTAGTCTTTAAAATTTGAGTAATTTTGTTTCGTTCCAATTTTGATGGACATAAAATTTTGATTTGAATATCGAGTTCTTTTCTGAAAAATCAGAAGCTGCGAAACAGTAAGTGGACATACTAGCAGGGATTAAAACTACTGAAAGGATGTTTCATTTAATAGTTAACTTCCTCGACATCTTAATACATGAAAACTTATAGAAATCAAATAATATCATTTTTAATAATATAAAACTTACCTTGAAATTCATTCTCATCATTCCTCTGAATTCAATATCTATTATTAGTAAATGGTGCTTGGTCCAGCTGGCAAAGCCCTTCTCACTGTACTGTTTCCTGTGGAGGGGGTGTCAGAATACGAACCAGAACATGTAACAATCCCAAACCATCTAACGGAGGACACACGTGTCAGGGAATAGCGGTTCATTCCGCAACCTGCAACACCCAATCATGTTCAGGTTACATGAACTTCCGATAAAAGTTTATTCATTGAATTCTCTTTTCAAAATTAAAATGTCCAATGAATAAAATAGAGTAAATGAAAACCTGACTTGATAAAAACATTTATTCAGTTAGAACAGTATTCAAACAGTATTGTAAAGGTACCTACCGATGTTTGAAAAAAAAATCTGAAATCATGGAAGACGGTTCAGGATCTGTTTGTTATATCAACTAGATTGTTTAAGCATTTTGTTGTTTTTGTTTAAATGTGTATAGATGCTAATTAGCTATTTTTTATTGACATTGCCCAGATATTAATTATAAATCGGACGCAGTATTAAGCAAGCCATTAAGCATGGGAAAAGTAAAGTTTCTGTATATTTCTCTCCCTGTAGCTTCAATTTCTACTATAGCCACAAGAAAAACACCAAAACCTACCGCAGTACCAAACCCAACAACAACAACAAACCCTAAAACAACAATAAACTACTCAACAGCAAACCCTACGACAGCATACGCAACAATAAAGAAACCTTCAACAGCAAACCTAACAGCAGCGACCAAACCAACAACAACACCACTGAAACATCATTATGTAACAATCAGAGCTTTCAAGTGAAGTTAGGAATAAAGCGATTTAAAATGTTTATAATATTTGAATTCCTGTTTTAACATTATATTCTATGAATTAGATGATGTTATCGAAGGAAGAGCGTGTATCCTTACGGCAAATTAATGCAAAATTATCTCGTCGAAGTGCAAAAAAATAGACACAAAACATTTTTAAGAAGAGACAGGAATATTTATCATTGCTATTATAGTGCAAAGCAAATAGATGGGTCGCCAAAACAACGGGCAGGCCCTGCAACGTAACAAAGCAACATTCACATCATCAAATTGAGGTTCAAAGTTCATAACAAATAGCAAAAAATAGGAGTGGGACGATCCACCGGTGCACCGATGCATCACAGTATTCACTTTGACGATCTACAGATCGATTCATCTAATTTAGTATCACGATAACTGACCGCACTTTTTTTTAATTTCCAAAAATGTCCCGGCTTTAGAATTCGAAATTTTTAGTCCTTTAGTCTGTATCATCAAGGCGTTTAAACAAACACAAATAAAGTACAAACGTCTTGCTGATACAGAATCCAAGATATAAGCGTCAAAATGGCGTCAGACACGCCGGATTATATTAAATTAACGAAACCCAATGGTAGTAAGTCGGGAGTCTGGGACACCTTTGGGCTACCGGTGTATGAAAAAGACGGCGCACGAACAACAGATAAAAGTAAAGTGGTATGCAAGATATGTGATGCTCGTTTGAAATACAATGGCAACACCACAAACATGCAGAAGCATATTGTTAGACACCATCCTTCCGTTTCAACAGTTTCATCTCGTGTCACGACTGATACAGACAGTGAGCTAGATAAGGCGAAAGTCGAGGAAACGAGAAGAACAGTAAGCGGACAATTGCGTCTTACAGATTTAAAATCATCAAAATACACAGTTGATTCCCCGAGGGCAAAATCATTGAACAGAAAGGTTGGAGTATTTATAGCTAAAGACCTGAGGCCACTATCAATCGTAGACAACGTTCATTTTTGTGAGTTTGTCACAGAATTAGATCCAAGATATTCTCTACCTACAAGAAAATACTTTTCAGAAAAAATTATCCCTCAGTTATACAATGAAGTGAAAGACAAAGTTAAATGTAAACTCAAGAAAACAGAATCTGTTGCATTGACCACTGATTCGTGGACGTCAAGGGCTTGCGAAAGTTATGTAACCATAACAGTGCATTTTATAGAGTCTGATTGGAAAATGAAATCATATGTACTGCTGACAAGACATTTAGATGTCTCCCATACTGGAGTAAACATAGGAAATGTGGTTAAGGAAGCACTGGGTGAAATAAGCAGTTTCCCGTCATGGGAAACTATATGGAAACCACATGGAAACCTCATGTTTACATCATGTTTCCTAGTGGTTTCCGCAGCGGATGCCAGGTTATTCCGTCAAGTTTCCGTACCACGGAAACTACTACGCTCCGATTCTATAAGGTATCCCGAACCACGGAAACCTCAGGAAACCTGAAGTTTCCTGAGCCTCCATGTAGTTTCCCGTAATGGGAAACCTGAAGATTCCACTGGTTTCCATAATTAGGAAACTATGAGGAATCGGAGCGTAGTGGTTTCCATGGAATGGAAACTCGATGGAATCCTCAGATTTCCCATGAACGGAAACTAGAGGAAACCTCGTGATTCCTCAAGTTTCCATGACTCAGGAAACTATATGGAATTGGAGCGTAGCGGTTTCCGTGTGATGGAAACTTGGTGGAATTATCTGGTGTCTCATAAAAGGAAATTACAGGGAAACTTCAAGATTCCCTTATTTTTCCGAGACGGGAAGCAATGTGTAATTGTGGTGTAATAGTTTCCATACCATGGAAACTACAGGGTAGGTTGAGCATTTCAATTTCGAAAAATGATTGACAAGCAACTGGAAGCTCAAGGATCCCTGTATTTTCCATGGTTAATCTTTCTTGTCTAGAATGTGAAAAGAGAACAGCAGGTTTAAATCAAAATATATATTATTAATTTCCTTGGTAAACTGTGTTTTCTTTTCAAAATCTATCAAGAAAATGTATAAAAAGGAAAAAGCATTATCAAATCATATGTTTAATAATTCATTTGATGTGCAAAAACATTATTTGAAAATGATATCAAAATAAATAAAATCATATATATTGGTACACAATGAAATAGTCTTTCACATCTAAGTCCATTCATAAAAACTTCTTTAAATACTCTATACTTCTTTCAACATCAGCTTCCTTTGTGTTTTCTTCACATCATCTGCGATCTGCAATATATTTTCATATAAAATTATTATTTGATGTAAGAATTGTATGCTTGAATATTAATTAGAAATCTTACAAGATCACTCAATGTCCTTTAATGTACCAATATCAGTGATTATAATTAGTTTCAGTCTTTAAATTAATTTAATGACATGAAATCCGAATAATGAACATTACATAGTAAGGTTTTAAGCCAGATTAATATTAAAGCAGGTAAGATTGAGAATACGACCATCTCGTACATGTAGAACACTGCTTTAAGTTGAGTGAATTGGAGAGAAATGTGCTCTGGACAAGGATATTACGAATCTTTTTTTTTCTTATTGACATTTGACCTAGAAATTTTGTTAAAGATCACTAAAAACTCTTCATCCCATGGCACACAAACAAGATCATACCAAGGGAGAAAAATTATGCTCTGGACAAGGACTTTAAATAAAGATATATAGTGTGTTTTGATACTGACCTTTGACCTTGATAATTGGTCCAAGGTCACTTTTTACCCTCCATCCACAGGCACTCTATGAGTTAAATTTGAGTGAGATTGGGCTAAGAGGAGAAAAAATATACTCAGGACAAGTGATATCAGATGGACAGACAGATCATCTCATGGCATCTGCAGAACAGGACCCTAAAAAAAACAATGCACAAAGTTACATGGTAAGCTATATCCATACAAGTCAATATGAATTCATCATATGTTGCATTGTATACACATGTTTTAATCATGTTTAATACCTTATGAATAATTTCATATTGCATGTACACTCAGTTAACATACAAATAATTTAAATTTCATCAAAAACGACCAACATATCAGCCATTCAAGATTTAGCTAATCAACATTCAGTACAAGTTCTATATGCTATATCATATGTACAGACACATACTAGTATTATTTACCTGCATTCTAAATTTTGGTTTTATGTCATTGAAAATTAAGGCGATAGCCATTACCGATAACCAGTTTTTACCCCCAATTTACATACATGAATGTTGTAATGTTTGTTCAAAACTTCTCATTTATAAATATTATCTTATAATAGTATATTTAGTTAACATATTCCTACAGTTAAAGCTTCAAAGTGTTTCATTGAATATTTTAGAAATTACAGTCATCAAAATACTGACCAGCCAGAAATCAGTAAATTTAAGTGCAGTTTTTTTTTAAATAAGTAATGGTACATGTAGGGGTATAAAAATCAAGAAATGGACGGCACGTATAAAGAAATGTTTGTACATGTAGAAGTATTGACAATCACCACATCAGTACATTATACCTAAATATCGAAAGAAACTATTTTCTCTCCATTTTTTGAAAGAGGGGAGGGGGCTTAAATTTGAAAGGGGTAACCTTCCGTTTAACATAATACACGATTTAAAAATATTAAGTTTTCGCTAAGCATCTACGTGTAAAACAATTAATGATTTTTTTTTCTTCAATGAATTGCCTTAGCATGCAGTTCTTCAGAAGACATTGTTCTTAAGAAAAAGAAAATCATGTTATATAAATATCATAGACTTTTCTTTATTTTTAGAGCCAGCATTGGTCTTTGTGTACAAAATGGCTAAATTAAATATACGTGCATGTATGCATTTAAGACCAACATTATTGTATTTCCCTGCGAAAAATGAAGACATTCACTATATCAGGGTCTGTGTACAGATATATATAAAAAATAAGTTATTTAGTTAACACTCATTAATTTTGTATATGAATATTATTCTGCTGTGTTATTTTATCAATGTCTTTGTAGAGGACTATATACGAATTTCACACAAAACATTAGTAATTTAGGTCTTATGTTGTATAATAGATCCACCTGCATCCTTTCTCATAAACAATTTGCGAATTAAGCAGGCAACAAAGTTGATAATTAACAATTCTTTCTACGTTTTCAATATTCAAAGTTTACATTGATGTCAAACAAGAACGATTCGTTATTTACCGATTAAATTTTTTTATTTCATTTATCTATGCACTTACAAATTTGTTTGAAAAAGAATTATGATTTAACACATAACGAGAATTTAGATTTATTCTAGACCGATAGAAAAGTATATATAATTTTTAAACGGTTAGGAAATTTTGTTTTTTAATCAGTAATGAAAAAATAAAATACAATTCTTTTTTTCCTTCTCTCATTGAACATCTTAAAATTAATGTAGCTTATTTTATCAATATTCTGTGGTCTTATTGATAATTTAAATTATTTTTTTTTTTAAATCAAATCAATGGCCAGCAGTTATCACCTAAATTTAAACTGAGTTTGTGAAGACTATGTGTATGTACATGCTTGACCACAGCCCATTGTTCCCCTTAGGTAGAAAACCCTCTTAAATCACATAGAATATACAAAAAATACACAGTCGCAGGTGTCTTCGCGACACGTGTCTCCACCTGTGGCACGTGAGAACAGGTGCCCGCGATTACAAGGGTAAGCGCAATAATTGAATTTTATCTGAACAGTTTACACTGATTTTTCTAAAATTAAAAGTTGTATTAAATCTTCTCTTACTACTAATTCCAATTCACGTGTCTTTATGAGTTTTACCGAGACTAAAATTTTAAAAAATCTTTTATTTGTCAAAGAATGTTCAATTTTATTACACAGAATTACACATTTTTTTTATTATTCTTTTGATACACGTTTCCAAAATGTCTATTATCGGGAAAATAGGTGTAAACCACAGCATACGTGTTTTCCATATCTGGAAAACATGCAGGAAACTACAGGTTGATTGCTTCCATATCGGGAATATACGTGGAAACCACTACTGCATGTTTCCGCGGTTTCCCATATTGGGAATCTTACGGGAAACCACAGGTTGATTGTTTCTATATCGGGAATCTACGTGGAAACCACTACTGCATGTTTCCACGGTTTCCCATATTGGGAAACTTATGGGAAACCACAGGTTGATTGTTTCCATATCGGGAATCTACGTGGAAACCACTATGTGATTTCCATAAAATGGAAACTATATGGAAACTACTGAAGTCACGATTCCCATATGTTTCCATCGGGTTTCCAAATTTGGGAAACCTGGCTTTTCATCCTGTGAAGCAGTTACAGAATGGAATTTGCCAACAGAGCATGAAATTGCACTTGTGACAGACAATGCATCCAATATGGACATTGCGGCAAAAACAGCTGATCTACATCCTCAAATAGGTTGTTTTGCCCACACAGTTAACCTGGCATGTCAGCGGGGAATTAAAGTTCCTACACTAAGCAGGCTGCTTGGCCGGATACGTAAAGTTGTAAGCTTTTTTCATCGTTCCACTACAGCAACGGCAGTGCTTAAATCAAAGCAGGAACAATTAAGTTTACCTGTTCATATATAAGTCCAGGATGTCCAGACAAGATGGAATAGCAGCTATGATATGATTCAGAGATATCTAGAGCAGGAACCAGCAATTCATGCAGCTCTTTCATCTCCAGAAGTGAACAAGAACATTCGAGATGTGGTCACTCTGTCTTGCGATGACATATCTGAAGCTGAGCAAGTCTTGAAAGTTTTGGAACCATTAAAAACTGTCACTAACATAATGTGTACTGAGCATTCACCCACAGTATCCCTGATTTATCCAATGAAAGCAATTATTTTGGAAAATTTGGCAGAGAATGTACATGATTCCAATCTTGTAAGGGATGTGAAACAAGCTATAAGGGGGGATCTTGCAAAACGATACACAGAAGAAGAAACATCTGAATTTTTATTGTTGTGTGCTGCCTTAGATCCTCGCTTCAAGGGTCTTCCCAGACTGGAACAAGATCAGAGAAAAGAAATGTATGGAAACATTGAGAGAAGAGTACTTATCTTAGGAGATGATCCTGTAAAAGTTAGTATTTTTTTGTGTACCCAATCACTGTAATTAATCAAGTTTTAAATCTGTTGACTCCCTCTAATAATAATACATCAATATTCAATAATCAGTAAAAATTATGTAATGCCAGATATACTGAGATGACAAATAAATAACATTAACATTTACATGTAAAAGTACATTTTACTTTTAAATTTTAATATTGATTTGCAGGTAAAGGTTGAACCAGGAACAGAAACTACAGATAACCAGACAGGGCCCCAGCCGAGTATCTGAACAACAATAAACCTGACTTGCCAACACTCAATATGAATGAAGGTAAATTTATTCTGATAATCTGATTATATTTATTTATTTTAAAAAAAAATTAAGTTGATTGTAAATTTGAAATTTTTAATTTTA